TTATCTTTCTTTTTCTAATTTAAGATTGAAATATAATCCTGTCTTTTTCTCTACAAGAAATCTAATATGTTTGATTTTGAGTGGCGGAAAGAAAATTGTATGAGTGAATTGTATTAAGAGAGGGAGAGAAGACAAATTGTATGATAAAAAAAAAGAGAGAAAGTGAATTATGAAATAGAGAGATTGCATGGTAAGAGAGAGAGAGAGAGAGAGATTGCATGGTAAGAGAGAGAGAGAGAGAGAGATTGCATGGTAAGAGAGAGAGAGAGAGATTGCATGGTAAGAGAGAGAGAGAGACAATAAGAGGAAGAGAGAGAGACTTACAATAAGAGAAGAGAGAGAGAGATTACAATAAGAGGAAGAGAGAGAGAGACTCTACAATAAGAGGAAGAGAGAGAGAGACTCTACAATAAGAGGAAGAGAGAGAGAGACTCTACAATAAGAGGAAGAGAGAGAGAGACTCTACAATAAGAGGAAGAGAGAGAGACTCTACAATAAGAGGAAGAGAGAGAGACTCTCAATAAGAGGAAGAGAGAGAGACTCTACAATAAGAGGAAGAGAGAGAGACTCTACAACAAGAGGAAGAGAGAGAGACTCTACAATAAGAGGAAGAGAGAGATAGACTCTACAAGGAAAGAGGAAGAGAGAGAGAGAGACTCTACAATAAGACGAAAAGAGAGAGAGACTCTACAATAAAAGGAAGAGAGAGAGACTCTACAATAAGAGGAAGAGAGAGACTCTACAATAAGAGGAAGAGAGAGACTCTACAATAAGAGGAAGAGAGAGTGAGACTCTACAATAAAAAGAGAGGGAGACTCTACAATAAAAGGAAGAGAGAGAGATTCTACAATATGAGGAAGAGAGAGAGATTCTACAATATGAGGAAGAGAGAGAGATTCTACAATATGAGGAAGAGAGAGAGATTCTACAATATGAGGAAGAGAGAGAGATTCTACAATATGAGGAAGAGAGAGAGATCTACAATATGAGGAAGAGAGAGAGATTCTACAATATGAGGAAGAGATATGAGGAAGAGAGAGAGATTCTACAATATGAGGAAGAGAGAGAGATTCTACAATATGAGGAAGAGAGAGAGATTCTACAATATGAGGAAGAGAGAGAGACTATGATAGAATGAAAGAGAAATAAAATTACGTGATATGAGAGAGCAAGAGAATGATAAATGAAAGGTAGAGAAAAAAATTGTGTGAGAAAGAGAGAGATAAAGAGATAAGAGATTAAAAGAATACTGTGCTATACAAGAAAGAGAGAAAAATAATTGTATGTTACAAGATGGAGACAGAACTGTCTGATACAAAGAGAGAACAAGAGAGAAAGAGGATGGCATGAACAGAAGAGAGAGAGAGAGAGATAGCAAATTGTGTAAACCAAGATAAAGAGAGGGATAGAGAATTGTGTAACTTAAGACACAGGGAGAGAGAGAAAATTGTGTAACCCAAGAGAAGAGTTTAACCCAAGAGAGAAAAAAAGAGAATTGTGTGGGAAGAGTGAGAGAGAGAATTGTATGACGAGAGAGAGACAGAGGTTTGTGTGATGAGAGAGAGAAAGACAGAAAGAGAATTGTGTGACAAGAGAGAGAGAGAGAGAGAGAGAGAGAGAGAAAAAGAGAATTGCATGACAAGAGAGAGAGAGAGAGAAAAAGAGAATTGTGTGACAAGAGAGAGAGAGAGAGAAAAAGAGAATTGTGTGACAAGAGAGAGAGAGAGAGAAAAAGAGAATTGTGTGACAAGAGAGAGAGAGAGAGAAAGAGAATTGTGTGACAAGAGAGAGAGAGAGAAAGAGAATTGTGTGACAAGAGAGAGAGAAAGAGAATTGTGTGACAAGAGAGAGAGAGAGAGAATTGTGTGACAAGAGAGAGAGAGAAAAAGAGAATTGTGTGACAAGAGAGAGAGAGAGAAAGAGAATTGTGTGACAAGAGAGAGAAAAGAGAATTGTGTGTGACAAGAGAGAGAAAAGAGAATTGTGTGACAAGAGAGAGAAAAGAGAATTGTGTGACAAGAGAGAGAAAAGAGAATTGTGTGACAAGAGAGAGAAAAGAGAATTGTGTGACAAGAGAGAGAAAAAGAGAATTGTGTGACAAGAGAGAGAAAAAGAGAATTGTGTGACAAGAGAGAGAAAAAGAGAATTGTGTGACAAGAGAGAGAAAAAGAGAATTGTGTGACAAGAGAGAGAAAAAGAGAATTGCATGACAAGAGAGAGAAAAAGAGAATTGTGTGACAAGAGAGAGAAAAGAGAATTGTGTGGACAAGAGAGAGAGAGAGAGAATTGTGTGACAAGAGAGAGAAAAAGAGAATTGTGTGACAAGAGAGAGAGAGAGAGAGAGAATTGTGTGACAAGAGAGAAAGAGAATTGTGTGACAAAGAGAAAGAGAATTGTGGACAACAAGAGAGAGAGAGAGAATTGTGTGACAAGAGAGAGAGAGAGAGAGAATTGTGACAAGAGAGAGAGAGAGAGAGAGAATTGTGTGACAAGAGAGAGAGAGAGAGAGAATTGTGTGACAAGAGAGAGAGAGAGAGAGAATTGTGTGACAAGAGAGAGAAAGAGAATTGTGTGACAAGAGAGAGAGAAAGAGAATTGTGTGACAAGAGAGAGAAAGAGAATTGTGTGAGAAGAGAGAAAGAGAATTGTGTGAGAAGAGAGAAAGAGAATTGTGTGACGAGAGAGAGAAAGAGAATTGTGTGACAAGAGAGAGAGAGAGAGAGAGAAAGAGAATTGTGTGACAAGAGAGAGAGAGAGAGAAAGAGAATTGTGTGACAAGAGAGAGAGAGAGAGAAAGAGAATTGTGTGACAAGAGAGAGAGAGAGAGAGAAAGAGAATTGTGTGACAAGAGAGAGAGAAAAAAAAAGAGAATTGTGTGACAAGAGAGAGAAAGAGAGAATTGTGTGACAAGAGAGAGAAAGAGAGAATTGTGTGACAAGAGAGAGAAAGAGAGAATTGTGTGACAAGAGAGAGAAAGAGAGAATTGTGTGACAAGAGAGAGAAAGAGAGAATTGTGTGACAAGAGAGAGAAAGAGAGAATTGTGTGACAAGAGAGAGAAAGAGAGAATTGTGTGACAAGAGAGAGAAAAAGAGAATTGTGTGACAAGAGAGAGAAAAAGAGAATTGTGTGACAAGAGAGAGAAAGAGAATTGTGTGACAAGAGAGAGAAAGAGAATTGTGTGACAAGAGAGAGAGAGAGAGAGAATTGTGTGACAAGAGAGAGAGAGAGAGAATTGTGTGACAAGAGAGAGAAAGAGAATTGTGTGACAAGCGAGAGAAAGAGAATTGTGTGACAAGAGAGAGAAAAAGAGAATTGTGTGACAAGAGAGAGAAAGAGAATTGTGTGACAAGAGAGAGAAAGAGAATTGTGTGACAAGAGAGAGAGAGAGAGAGAAACAGAATTGTGTGACAAGAGAGAGAGAGAGAAAGAGAATTGTGTGATGAGAGAGAGAGTGAGAAATAGAGAAGCGTGTGACCTGAGAGAAAGAGAGAGAATCATGTAACCCAGGGTTGAAATAGAGAGTGAAAGCATAGTGCAACACAAAAGAGCGAGAACTGTGTTATATCCGATGTCAAGGGAGACAAAGTCATAATAAGAGATTTTCATGATAGAAGCGAGACAACGAGAGAAAGAGAATCATGTAACCCAAGAAAGAGAGAGAAAAAAAAAAGAGAGACAGAAATAATTGTATAACATGGGAGAGAAGTAGAGCGAACTGCATGATATAGAAAAGAGGAGGAGGAGGAAGGGTTGGCGACAAATGAAAGAGTCCAACCCTGTAATGAGGATCAGTATCAAAGGCAATCTTATCTCTTGATGATAGAAAAGACTGCAATGAAGTAAGAACAAATTGTAGAGCTGAATGGTGCTGGGGTGGGGCGGCAGCAAGTAAGTGTAAAAGAACATTTGTACGTAATGCTTTTATGTTCACTCTAAATCAAAAAGATAGTTTTACGCCATTGTCTTCTTCTTTGCTTTTATTCCCTTAATAGAATAAAGCAATGATGTGTCTTTATTTTACAAATAATTACATTTGTATGTGGCACAAGGCCAAAGAGGTAAGGGAAAAAAAAGGCTGATCGACACTGTCTATCCTACTCCTAGCTAACCTGATTCATGACCCATTCACTCCAACAAATGACACAATCACCACAAGAACCATTCCCTCTCCATTCAATCCAGACATGTACCAAAATACCGCATTTTCCCAAAAGGACCTAATAATACACCCATGATTATAACAATTTCTGAATATGTAGAAATTTTTACACTATTTACATTGTTCAGACCATCTTCCTCATCTTTGTTGCCATATTTATCACGTTTTGGCCATTGTACACTCCGGCCTTCTTCAGGTGGTTGGAATGTCGAATTGAACCCTTTATTCCACTTGCTGGGGTATATCTAAAGGATGTCAGTTATCAGTTATCTCCTGTTAATTCTGCCTTAACCAGATATTGAACACACACTCTTTGGGTCCTCTCACTGTATCTAACTAATGTCTTTATCCACTGTGCCATGGGGACATCTATGTATGAATCTTGGGGTATTATAAAACTTATGTCTTCAGCTATTATTTTTTTTACCAGTGCTCATATTGCAAGTTTTGCTGTTATCATTGCATGTTTTTTGACCAGAGCTAATATTGCAATTTTTGTTGATATTATCGCTTTTCTCTGGCACTCCTTATTACTGGTTCCCATATTGTATTCATTTCTATGCTTGATCGGCTCAGATTTTTGTGGCCTAGCATATGTGCTGATTCCTTATGAATTTTCCAATGATGTTCTTTGTCTATGATTTCAACCTGATCCCACAGAGGGTAGTGATCTTCCTTTTCTCTCCATATGTGGTCAGCCATGCCTGATTTTTCCACTTCCCCTCGTGTTATAGCTTTTTGGTGTTCTTGAAGCCTTACCTTGAGGGGGTGACCTGTCTCTCCTTTATATTCCTTTCCGCAGCTGCTCGGGATAGCGTACACACAGTCTTTAATCATGTT